CTGCTGATGTAATATTTTCCGTATAATTATTACAAAAACACAAAATAAGTATAAATAAGTATTTATATTTGTGTACAAGCTGTTTAGATTGTCAAAAAGCCTGTGTTTTTAGGGTTATTAACAAAGTTTGTGTACTCAGATCAGTAATATTTGGGGTCACAAGTTTTTGCCATGGATATTTTGTGGGTCAGAAGATAAAAAGTTTGGGAACCACTGCCCTACACAACTCCCTACACTACTTGTGACTTAATTCTCAGTTCAATGTGATGGGTCCAAGCTCTAATATTGTGTTTAAGGTTTGACCAAAAATGACCAAATCTTCATCATTTTACATTTTTTTATATAAAACTTGTACAAAAGGTGGAGGATGATATGAGTTCCACCAATTAATCCTAGCTCTGTGATTTTTTTTTTTTTAATTTTAAGCATTTTTATCTTGAAGGTTGAATGTATGAATGAGAAAGAATGTAATGCAAATACTACAGGACAATGTGCATTTTAACTCATCAGAAAAAGGGTTTTAAGTCTTGTTAACTACAGTAGCAAATACAAATTCAGACACCAAGTCACCAATTATAATACATTCTCCTCACCTGTGACACTAAATACTAAAGCATTCAAACTGACCCTAATTAGCATGTGTGAGCTAGAAGTTATAAGTCAACTAACTTTATCAACTAAATAGCAATTACCTGTGAAGTCCTCTCTTGCTGTGCACATGCCATTCTTTGGTGAATAAAGACAAAAATCTGCAAAAATAAAAACACAATTAACTAAGACCTAGAAGTATTTTTAAAACCTTGTACCTGAACGTTTGCTACTATGCTGCTAAGCTAATTGACATTCTAGCTAGCTAACTTAAAACATTGAGAGTACATAAGTTTTGTTAAATTGTATACACTTGTGTTGACAATGAGAGTTAAAGTACATTTTTCCCCCAAAAAATACAACGTAGTACCTTCAATTAAATATGTTAAATGGTAACTTTTAGGTTTTCGTTGCTACCGCGAACAACGACCCTCTAGTTGTAGCCGAGGATTCGCTCGTTTACCAATCGCTGCTTGGTTGAGCCTCTGGCAAAGACAAAACAATAACACCTACAGCAAACACTTAGTGAAATTACTGGTATTTTGGTCAATCACAAAAGTAACGCAAATCTTGTTAAAAATATTGAGTACATGTTCCGTAGTAGATTATATTAAATATGTTGTGTTGTACTTTGTGTCGATGCAGTGAAGCGCGCGCGGTCCCTGCAACGCCCCCACTATGGACATCTTCCAATTTCATTGGACAATGCTCTGTCAATCATGCAGCTTTCTGGCCAATATTTGTATCCCATTGGTTCAATGTGAAGTAACGCCGCCTTTCTATTGGCTGAAGTATAAGTCATTCATTCCTTGTCGCGACGTCACATATCGTTACGCCATTTTTGTTGGGGAGCAGTCGTGTTCAGAAAATCAGGATTAGGTAGGTCCAGAGCGGTAGCATCTGACGTGATCCCGTGTAATCAGCCCTTCGAGTTGTCTTCGAGTCGGACAGTTTTTTTTGTCCGTCACACTCAGACAATGTCGTCGGAAAACCTTGACTCAGACACGCAGGTGGACTACGAGGATGAAAAACAGGTGGGTTCTCTTGGGTTGCTAACTGCAAAACATGCTAACGAGAAGAAGCTAATGTGTATTAGCACAAGAGTGAAGTGTTTTCAGATGACTGAGAGCAGCATAGAAGTTCAAAATACTGCACCCGAAAGTCACCGATATGACATGGATAATCATTTTTATGTGTAATTACGTGGGTTGAGTTATATGTCAGTGCATCCAGTCTGTATTTCATTTTGTTTTGTTCCTTGCCTTGTGTTATTGGTGCAAGTACACACAGCAACTCGGGCCTCACTGGTTTGAACTAAAGGTCCTCTGACCAGCTAGTTTCATATGAAGACCAAATATTGTCAACACACAAACTGCTATTCTAAATAGTAGAGATGTATCAACAAATAAATATGTAGCAATGCATTTGTGTCAAAGACACAATGACCAGTCTTTTAGTTTTGTGTAAAAAATATAATTGTAGATAATTCCTGCATTTATGATTGTTACAACAACGTGTGTTTCTACTTAAAATTGGCATTAGTACACATCAGTTAATATCAGTATGTCTTAGAATATTCTGCAATTTAACTTAAGCAAACTCAAAGGTTTGCTATTTGTTTCAGACAGATGAAGTTCACTTGTATAATTAGAGATTTTAAACCTATTTTCTTTACATTTTCTCCACTGTCAACAAAGTGTGGGCAGCAAGCCTATTGTAAATCTATTCAATTAACCAAATACATTAAAAGTGTGCAGAATATGAATGTATCATACTTGAAATATAAAAGCCTAATTCACTGCAGTACATTTGTGGGATTAAGATTAAATATTATATTACCCCATCGTTACAATCAGATGGTTGGTGCAGGTTTAAAAGGTTTATATTCACATTTTAGTTGTCAGACTCTGGAACAAATCGTAATTGCACAAAAACTTATCAATTTGCAATGAACGCACAGTTTAAGTAAATAAAAACTGTGCTAGTTTTATTTGTTTTATTTTATTTTATAAGATTTTAAGACATGTTTAATGTATAACTTTTACTTTTAATGATGTCAAATATGTTTTGAGGATGACTCTCAGCTACTACCACAACCCATTGGGTCCCATTACATCAGAGATTTAAGTAGCAGGTAGTGTAGGTAGAAAATAGGCAGCTGTAGTGCATTGGTAGGAAAAAAAATTGCATTGATTTGATTTGTTTTTATTTATTTGTTTCATTAAAAACAAAATAACTATACACAATAGAAAATAAAAAATATACAAATCAAATAAAAAGAAAGGCAGCTGAAAGAAGAACAATCTTATATCTGCCCCTATTATTCCAAGAATATATTCAAACAATAGTCATTTATAAAATAAAAAAGTTTAATAAAAACATCAACTCAAACAACAGTTCATATGGATCCACATGCTTTTCCATATTTCTTAAAAATAACTTTTATCATTCTCTTAAGTATAAATCTTTACTAAAAAGATCTTTTTGTCAAAATAAAATGAATAAATGTTTGTTCCTTGAAGGAAATAGTTCATCTTGTATGTTTTAGACCATGTTTCCACTGTACACAAGTAGGGCTGCCA